ACTTATTTGGATAAAGTATGATTTTTTTTCGAGTTTGAAAGTCATGTTACAGCACTGTTTTGTAAAAATCGTAGAAAATCGTAGAAAAATCAGAAAAATATGAGGTYAKCGGCTTTGGAAAGATATACATCTCTAATTTAATCCATCTGTTGAAGTCAAAGTGTGATTTTGAGTTTAAGTGAGGTAAAAAGAGGTTAAAAACAGAGCTACAACATATAATTAAAGTTAGCTTATGACATGATTAAATTGATAAAATGTGTTTGGTTGTACCAATGCTTACGAAATCTGATATATGAACTCCAGGGGATAATTTAAGCTTGTTTGAGTCCTTTGGATGGTATCTTATAGTTGGATTGCAAGGTTGGACATTTGTCGTTCGGTTTGACCGTATTTGACATTCGGTCGTGAGATGAGTTAAATAGCTATTCAAATATTATTGTATTAAGTGTATATTTATGTGYCATCTATATGTATGTGATTTCTATGACTTTAGAGTCAGTTTCTCCAATTTTCTCAATCTAACTCCAATTGGAATGAAATTTTCTAAATCCTCTCATATACTCCAAAGAAGTATGACCTTAAAATTTCATCCCCAAACTCYYACTAAATCATTGGTTACCTTATATGGCCACTACTAATACACGTAGTAAAATTTCAACATGCTTAACATTTTCTCGCATGTAGGGTAGTTCTTCTCATAATCTTTCAGTTGGCGAGAAGCATATGCGATCACTTTGTCATGCTACATCAAGACACATCCAAGGCCAAGTATAGATGCATCACTATACATTACAAAGTCTTCACTACCCTCTGGTAGAGCTAGTATAGGCGTGTTCGTCAAACAATCTTTAAGAGTCTGAAATGCATTATYTTGAGCTTCTGTCCATTCAAATTAACATCCTTGCGAGTCAAGGATGTAAGTGGCACTGCGATATTCGAAAAGTCACGGATAAACCGTCTGTAATATCCCGCTAGACCCATAAAACTTCTGACTTCAGATGCATTCTTTGGTTGTTCCCACTTTTGGATCGCCTCAATTTTAGTCGAATCAACAGAAACCCCGTCGCCTGATATTACATGTCCTAGAAATTGCACCTGACGAAGCCAGAACTCGCACTTCGAGAACTTTGCGTATAAATGTTCCTTCCTGAGTAACTCAAGTATCTCGCATAAATGCATGGCATGTTCTACTTCGGACTTTGAGTACACAATAATGTCATCAATGAATACTATGACAGACTTGTCAAGCATGGGACGACATACTCTATTCATTAAGTCCATAAA